CAGCTAGCTTGCCTGCCTGCCTGCTTTCCTTCCTTCTGTCTATCCGTCCGTCCATCTTGGCTATGGGCTCTCTTTTGGTTTCATATGAAGTTTAAGGTAGTTTTTTCCAATTCTGTGAAGAAAGTCAGTGGTAGCTTGATGGGGATAGCATTGAAATCTACAAATTACTTTGGGCAGTATGGCCATTTTCACAATATTGATTCTTCATTTTTTGGAAAAACTTCCATGAATGTTTTTCCATCTGTTTGTGTCCTCTCTTATTTCCTTGAGGAGTGGCTTGTAGTTGTCCTTGAAGAGGCCCTGCACATCCCTTGTTAGTTGTATTCCTAGATATTTTATTCTCTTTGCAGCACTTGTTTATGGGTCAAATGGTATTGCTATTTCTAGATCCTTGAGGAATCACCACACTGTTTTCCACAATGGCTGGGCTGATTTACACTCTCACCAACAGTGTAGAAGTGTTCCTATATCTCCACATCCTCTTCAGCATGTTGTCTCCAGATTTTTTTAATGATCACCATTCTAACTGACATGAGATGGTATCTCAATGTGGCTTTGATTTGCATTTCTCTAATGACCAGTGATGAGCATTTTTTTATGTTGGCCACATAAATGTATTATTTTGAAAAATTTCTGTGCATATCTTTCACCCACTTTTTGATTGGGTTTTTTTTTCTTATAAATTTGTTTAAATTTTTTGTAGATTCTGGATATTCGCCCTTTGTCAGATGGGTAGCTTGCAAAAATATTTTCCCATTATGTTGGTTGCCAGTTCACTCTAATGATTGTTTCATTTGGTGTGCAGAAGCACGTAGCTCTTAAGTTTAATTAGATCCCGTTTGTCTATTTTGGCTTTTGTTGCTATTGCCTTCGGTGTTTTAGTCATGAAGTCCTTGTCTATGCCTATGTCCTGAATGGTATTGCCTAGGTTTTCTTCTAGGGTTTCTATGGTGTCAGGTCTTATGTTTAATCCATCTAGAGTTAATTTTTGTGTAAGGTGTAAGGAAGGGATTCAGTTTCAGTTTTCTGCACATGGCTAGCCAATTTTCCCAACACCATTTATTAAATAAGGAATCTTTTCCCCATTGCTTGTTTTTGTCAGGTTTGTCGAAGATCAGATGGTTGTAGGCATTATTTCTGAGGCCTCTGTTCTGTTCCATTGGTCTGTATCTCTTCCATTGGTACTGTTTTGTTTCCAGTACCATGCTGTTTTGATTACTGTAGCTTTGTAGTATAGTTTGAAGTCAGGTAGTGTGATGCCTCCAGCTTTGTTCTTTTTGCTTAGGATTGTCTTGGCTGTGTGGGCTTTTTTTTTCTTCCATATGAAGTTTAAGGTGGTTTTTTCCAGTTCTGTGAAGAAGGTCAATGGTAGCTTGATGCAGATAACATTGAATCTATAAATTACTTTGGGCAGTATGGCCATTTTCATGATACTGATTCTTCCTAACCAGGAGCATGGAATGTTTTTTCCATCTGTTTGTGTCCTCTCTTATTTCCTTGAGCAGTGGTTTGTAGTTCTCCTGGAAGAGGTCCCTTCACATCCCTTGTTAGTTGTATTCCTGCGTATTTTATTCTCTTTGTAGCAATTTTAATTTGGAGTTCACTCATGATTTGGCTCTCTGTTATTGGTGTATAGGAATGCTTGTGATTTTTGCACATTGATTTTGTATCCTAAGACTTTGCTCAAGTTGCTTATCATTTTAAGGAGATTTTGGGCTGAGATGATGGTGTCTTGTAAATATCCCATCATGTCATCTGTGTCATCTGCAAATAGAGACAGTTTGACTTTCTCTTTTCCTAATTGCATGCCCTTTATTTCTTTTTTTTGCCTGACAGCTCTGGCTTGAACTTCCCATACTATGTTGAATAGGAATGATGAGAGAGGGCACCCTTGTCTAGTGCCGGTTTTCAAAGGGAATGCTTCTAGTTTTGCCCATTCGGTATCATATTGGCTGTGGGTTTGTTATAGTTTTTATTATTTTGAGATACATTCCATCGATAGTTATGTTGAGAGTTTTTTTCTGTTGAATTTTGTCAAAGCCTTCTCTGCATCTGTTGAGATAATCATGTGGTTTTTGTCTTTGGTTCTCTTTATGTCGTGGATTACGTTTATAGATTTGCATACGTTGAACCAGGCTTGCATCCCAAGGATGAAGCCTACTTAATCATGATAGATAAGCTTTTTGATATGTTGTTGTATTTGGTTTCCCAGTGTTTTATCGAGGATTTTTGCATCGATGTTCATTGTGAATATTGGCCTGAAGTTTTCTTTTTTAGTTGTTTCTCTGCCAGGTTTTGGTATCAGGATGGTGATTGTCTCATAAAATGAGCTAGGGAGGATTCCCTTTTTTTGTATTGTTTGGAATAGTTTCAGAAGGAGTGGTACCAGCTCCTGTTTGTACATGTGGTAGAATTCAGCTGTGAACACGTCTGGACCTGGAATATTTTTGGTTTGTAGGCTATTCATTGCTGCCTATACTTCAGACCTTGTTATTGATCTATTCAAGGATTCAGCTTCTTTCTGGTTTAGTCTTGGGAGGGTGTAAGTGTCCAGGAATTTATCCATTTCTTCTAGATTTACTGGTTTATGTGCATAGAGTTGTTTGTAGTAGTTTCTGATGGTAGTTTGTATTTCTGTGGGATTGGTGGTGATTTCCCCTTTATCATTTTTTATTGCATCTATTCAATTCTTCTCTCTTTTCTTTTTATTATTCTGGCTAGCAATCTATCTATTTTGTTGATCTTTTCAAAAAACCACCTCCTGGACTTGATTTTTTTTTTTTTTTTGGAAGGTTTTTTTTTGTGTCTCTCTCTCCTTCAGTTCTGCTCTGATCTTAGTTATTTCTCGTCTTCTGCTAGCCTTTGCATTTGTTTGATCTTGCTCCTCTGGTTTTTTAGTTGTGACAACAGGGTGTCGATTTTAGATGTTTCCTCACTTCTCATGTGGGCATTTAGTGCTATAAATTTCCCTTTAGACACTGCTTTAAATGTGTCCCAGATATTCTGGTACATTGTGTCTTCATTCTCAGTGGTTTCAAAGAACATCATTATTTCTGCCTTCATTTTGTTATATATCCAGTAGTCATTCAGCAGCAGGTTGTTCAGTTTCCATGTAGTTGTGCGGTTTTGAGTGAGTTTCTTAATCCTGACTTCTAATTTGGTAGCACTGTGCTCTGAAAGACTGTTTGTTATGATTTCCATTATTTTACATTTGCTGAGGAGTGATTTACTTCCAATTATGTGGTCAATTTTAGAGTTAACTGCAATGTGGTGCTGAGAAAACTATATTCTGTGGATTTGGGTTGGTGAGTTCTGTAGATGTCTATTAGGTTTGCTTGGCCCAGATCTGAGTTCAAGTCCTGGATATCCTTGTTATTTTTCTGTCTCGTTGATCAGTCTGATATTGACAGTGGGGTGTTAAAGTCTCCCACTATTATTGTGTGGGAGTCTAAGTCTCTTTGTAGGTCATTAAGAACTTGCTTTATGTATCTGAGTGCTCCTGTATTGGGTGCATATATATTTAGGATAGTTAGCTCTTCTTGTTGCATTGATCCCTTTACCATTATGTAATGCCCTTCTTTGTCTCTTTGATCTTTGTTGGTTTAAAGTCCGTTTTATGAGAGACTGGGATTACAACCCCAGCTTTTCTTTGCTCTCCATTTACTTGGTAAATCTTCTTCCATCCCTTTATTTTGAGCCTATATGTGTCTTTGCACATGAGATGGGTCTCCTGAAAATAGCTACATTGATGGGTCTTGACTTTGTACCCAATTTGCCAGTCTGTGTCTTTTGATTGGGGCATTAAGCCCATTTACACTTAAGGTTAACATTGTTATTTGTGAATGTGATCTTGTATTTTGATGCTAGCTGGTTGTCTTGCCTGTTAGTTGATGCAGTTTCTTCATTGTGTTAATGCTCTTTACCATTTGGTATGTTTTTGGAGTGGCTGGTACTGGTTGTTCTTTCCATGTTTAGAGCTTCCTTCAGGAGCTCTTGTAAGACAGCCCTGGTAGTGACGACACCTCTCAGCAATCGCTTGTCCGTAAAGGATTTTATTTCCTTTTCACTTATGAAGTTTAATTTGGCTGGATATGAAATTCTGAGTTGAAAGTTCTTTTCTTTAAGGATGTTGAATATTGGCCCCCACTCTCTTCTGGTTTGTGGGGTTTCTGCTGAGAGATCTGCTGTGAGTCTGATGGGCTTCCCTTTGTGGGTAACCTGACCTTTCTCTTTGGCTGCCCTTAGCATTTTTTCCCTTCATTTCAACCCTGGTGAATCTGACAATTATGTGCCTTGGGGTTGCTCTTCTTGAGGAACATCTTTGTGGTGTCCTCTGTATTTCCTGAATTTGAATGTTGGCTGGCCCTGCTAGATTGGGGAAGTTCTTCTGGTTATATATTTTAAAGAGTGTTTTCCAGCTTGGATTCGTTCTCCGTCACATTCAGGTACACCTATCAAACAGAGATTAGGTCTTTTCACATAATCCCATATTTCTTGGAAGCTTTGTTCATTTCTTTTCACTCTTTTTATTTTATTTCATTGAGTTGATCTTCAGTCTCTGATATCCTTTCTTCTGCTTGATCAATTTGGCTATTGAAACTTGTGTATGCTTCGCAAAGTTCTCATGCTGTGTTTTTCAGCTCTATCAGGTTGCTTATGTTCTTCTCTAAGCTGGTTATTCTAGTTAGCATTTCGTCTAACCTTTTCTCAAGGTTCTTAGTTTCTTTGCATTGGGTTAGAACAAGTTCCTTCAGATCAAAGAAGTTTGTTATTACCCACTTTCTGAAGCCTGCTTCTGTCAGTTTGTCAGACTCATTCTCTGTCCAGTTTTGTTCCCTTGCTGGTGAGGAGTTGTGATCCCTTGGAGAAGCAGAGACATTCTGGTTTTTGGTATTTCATCCTTTTTGTGCTTGTTTCTTCCATCTTTGTGGATTTATCTACCTTTGGTCTTTGAAGTTGGTGACTTTTGGATGGGGTCCTTCAGTGGACTTCCTTTTTGTTGATGCTGAAGCTATTTCTGTTTTTTACTTTTCCTTCTGACAGGCCCCTCTGCTGCAGGACTGCTAGAGGTCCACTTCAGACCCTGCCTGCCTGGGAATCATCTGCGGGGGCTGCAGAACTGCAAGGTTTACTGCCTGTTCTCTCCTCTGGTAGCTTCGTCCCAGAAGGGTACCCACCAGATGTCAGCCAGAACTCTCATGTATGAGGTGACTTTTTGATATACAGGGGTCAGGGAACTACTTTAGAAGGCAATCTGTCTCTTATCAGAACTCAAATGCTGTGCTGGGAGCTCCATTGCTCCCTTTAGAGCTGCTGGGTAGGCACACTTAAGTCTGCTGCAGCAGAACTCACAAACGCCCTTTTCCCAGGTGCTCTGTTCTAGGAAGGTAGGGCTTTATAAGTCCCTGACCAGCTGCTGCCTTTTTTCAGAGATGCCCTGCCAGCAAGGAGGAAGTCTAGTCGCAGTCTGCCTGCAAAGGCGCTCCTGAGCTGCCATAGGCTCCGTCCAGCTGCCGTGTAAACTTCCTCCAGATTTTGTTTACACAGGTAAGGTTAGACCTGCCTCGGCAATGATGGACGCCCTTCCCCACAGCGAGCTTGACCGTCCCAGGTTGTGCTCAAACTGCTGTGCTGGCTGTGAAATTCTCAAGCCAGAGGGTTTCGGTTTGCTGGTCTTTGTTGGGGTGGGACCCACCAAGCCAGATCACTTGGCTCCCTGACCTGAGCTCCCCTTTATGCAAGGGATTAGGCAGCTCTGTCTTGCAGGCATTCCAGGTGCCAGCCTGTGCTGGAGACCCACAGTGCTTGTTGGCCTGGCGGTAATCTTCCAGTCTGTGGGCTGTTGAACCAGAGTGCTGGTGTGGCCGGAAAAGTCCCTGATGGCCTCTGCTAGGTAGGATGGGGGGGGGGGTCCTTCAATCTGTTGCACTTCCCGGGAGAGACAGCGCCCCACCCTGCCCCATTTTGCCCTCCTTGGGCTACACCCACTGTCCAACCAGTCCCATTGAGACAAATCTGGTACCTTGGTTGGAAATGCGGAGATCACACACCTTCTGTGTCGCTCTCACTGGGAACTGCACTCCAGAACTGTTCCTATTCATCCATCTTGGCGAAAGTCCCCAGATTATCTGGAGGAGTCTCTCTTTTTTTATTGTTTCAAATAGTTTCAGAAGGAATGGTACCAGCTCCTCTGGTAAAATTTGGCTGTGAACCCATCTGGTCCTATAGTTTTTTGGTTCGTAGGCTATTAATTGCTGCTTCAATTTGAGACCTTGTTATTGGTCTTTTCAGGGATTCAGCTTCTTCCTGGATTAGTCTTGGGAGGGTATGTGTCCAGGAACTTACCATTTCTTCTAGATTTACTGGTTTAATTGCATAGAGGTATTTGTAGTACAATCTCTGATGGTAGTTTGTAGTTCTGTGGGATCAGTGGTGATATCCCCTTTATCAATTTTTATTGCACTATTTGATTCTTTTTTCTTATTAGCCTGGCTAGCTGTCTATCCATTTTATTGGTCTTTTCAAAAAACCAGCTCCTGGATTTGATTTTTTTGAAGGGTTATGTGTCTGTCTCCTTCAGTTCTACTCTAATCTTAGTTATTTCTTGTCTTCTGCTAGCCTTTGAATTTGTTTGATCTTGCTCCTCTAGTTCTTTTGATCGTGACATTAGGGTATCGATTTTAAATCCTTCCTTCTTTCTCTTGTGGGCATTTTGTGCTATAAATTTCCCTTGAGACACTGCTTTAACTGTATTCCAGAGATTCTGGTATGTTGTGTCTTTGTTCTCATTGGTTTCAAAGAATATCTTTATTTCTGCCTTCATTTCATTATTTATCCAGTAGTTATTAAGGAGCTGGTTGTTCAGTTCCATGTAGTTGTGCAGTTTTGAGTGAGTTTCTTCATCCTGAATGCTAATTTGATTGCACTGTGGTCTGAGACTGTTATGATTTCCATTCTTTTGCATTTGCTGCAGAGTCATTTACTTCCAATTCTGTGGTCAATTTTAGAAAAGGTGTGTTGTGGTGCTGAGAAGAATGTATATTCTCTGGATTTGGGGTGGAGAGTTCTGTAGATGTCTGTTAGGTCCACTTGGTCCAGATCTGAGTTCAAATCCTGGATATCCTTGTTAATTTTCTGTCTCATTGATCTAATATTGAAAGTGGGGTCTTAAAGTCTCCCACTGTTATTATTTGGGAGTCCGAGTCTTTTTGTAGGTTAAGAACTTGCTTTATGTAACTGGGTGCTCCTGTATTGGGTGCATATATATTTAGGATTATTAGCTCTTCTTGTTGCATTGATCCCTTTACCATTATATAATGCCTTTGTCTCTTTTGATCTTTGTTGGTTTAAAGGCTGTTTTATCAGAGATTAGGATTGCAACCCCTGCTTTTTTTTTTTTTTTTTTTTGCTCTCCATTTGTTTGATAACTCTTCTTCCATCCCTTTATTTTGAGCCTGTGTGTGTCTTTGCACATAAGATGGGTCTCCTGAATACAGCACACTGATGGGTCTTGACTGCTTATCTAATTTGCCAGTCTTTGTCTTTTGATTAGAGCATTTAGCACATTTACATTTAAGGCTTTTTTTTTTTTTTAATTTGACTGGATTATTTTTAAAGACCTGTCTTCAAGGTCTGCAATTCTCTCTGTTGCTTGTCTAGTCTATCACTGGCTCTTTCTTTTGCTTGTGTAGCCTATTATTGAAGTTTCAAGTGTGTATTACAGTTCTTTCAATTTTTAAGTTTTCGATTTTTTTTTGAGATATCTATCTTCTTTGGAAATTTCTTGCTCATACCCTGAATTGATTTCTGATTTATTTGTATTGGTTTTCAGATTTATCTTGCATCTAATTGAGCTTCTGTATTTTGAATTTTTCATCTGGCATTTCAAGATTTTCTTTTGAGTGGGATCTATTGCTGAACAGTTGTCATATGGCGGGTCACACTGCCTTCCTTTTTCATGGTTTTTGTGTCCTTCCATTAATATATGCATATCTCATGTAACAGTTGCTTCTGCTAATTTTTTGAAATTGCTTTTTTGTGGGAGGATTTTCTCCTGAAGATGTACATATGTAGTTGATGCTTTGATTTGGGGTGCCTGTGGTAGTGTGGTCTTTGTATGATTTCTTAGGCGTACACAGGGTCATTGGTATCTGTGATTTCCTCAGTGACTTGTATGGTTATTAGCTGAGCCTTGGTGAATAAGTTTTGCTGGGGTCTAGGATGCCAGGTATGCCAGTCTTTGGGCCCAATTGGTAGAAGTGGTGGGCTGAGTGTTTCTATTCCTAGGCCAAAGAGTGGCTCATGCTGTTACTGGTATTAGTGGGTCCTCAAAGGCTGATTCTTGGGCCTCTGGGTATCTTGCTCAGATGGTAGTAGTGGGAACGGTGGGCCAGACATGTAGGCAGGTTTTCAGGTCCCTGGGCAGCTGGTGTGATGCAGGTATCGCAGCCCTAAGAAACTAACAAAAGGGTTCAAGAAGCTTTGTATGTAAAGGTCAGATAGTAATTAGACTTTATGGGTCATTCAGTCTATCAAAACTACTTCATTCTGTCATTGTAGCATGTAAGCAGCTCTAAACAATATGTAAATGAATAAGTATATGTAGTTTGTCTTCCAGTACTTATTTACAAAACAAGTGGTGGGCAGCATTTGGCTAGAGTGCGTAGTTTCATAGTTTGCTGATGCCTAATCCACAACATTCAGAAAACACAACAGTGGTTAGCATTGTAATCAAATTCCTGTTGCCCACAGCCATGAATATAACATACATATCCATCAGGACAGATCCCGTTGTAGATAACATAGGAAAGATAATGGGCCGGCTATGGTGGTTCATGCCTGTAATCTCAGCACTTTGAGAGGCCAAGGTGGGCGGATCACAAGGTCAGGAGATCGAGACCAGCCTGAACCAACATGGTGAAACCCTGTCTCTACTTAGCCGGCATGGTGGTGTGCACCTGTAATCTCAGCTACTCAGGAAGCCGAGGCAGGAGAATGGCTAGGAGGCAGAGGTTGTAGTGAGCCGAGATCATGCCACTGCACTCCAGCCTGGGTGACAGAGCAAGACTCTATCCCAAAAAAAAGGGGGGGGGGCTGGGAATCAATTTTGATTTGACTGAATTTAAATCCTAAATCAACTACATTGAGAAACAGAATCTACTACATTGAAAAACAGACTTGGAAAAAAAAAAATTAACTTCTATTTGGCAATTTAGGTTTTTTCCAGAAGTGAAAATGCCAAAGTACTAATTTCACATAGTTAAAAACTCTCAAATATGAAATGAACATTAAAGATTTTATTCAACTTGTTAATGAGCCAGAAAGGTAGACCATTTCAACGAATATGAAAAACATTTTATATTGTAGACATATAGAATCAGAAATGCTGAAATGAATTTGCTGGTAGATGCAAAACATATTAATATATTTTAGTGTAATAAACTTTAATGCTTGGGTTATCTTGTCTACAGAGCAGAGTTGTATTTCTACTGGCCAAAAATTCACTTACATTGTTAGCAGCAAGAATCACTTATGTTACTGTCAGTTGTCTTACAAGTTATCATCTATACCTACAGAGTTGTAAAATAAGTCAGTAGAGAGTCAAAGGTGTGCCTCCTATAGAATCAGATGATACCTGGAGGGCCCACTAGAAAATGCCAACACTTGGGTGTCACTATGGAGTGGCATCGTTGCACCCATGGTTTGCTTTTCTCTATTTTTCAGGCCATAGATAATTTTTCCTGATACCAGCTGGACTGCGTTTAGTTATAAAGTTTCATTTTCACATATCTGAGACTTGTGAAGTGTTATCAGTAAAAGTTTAAACATGCTATACAACAACAAAAAAATGGGAATAACTGTGTGGCAAGCTGTGGATCCCAGAGAAGATGGAAGATAAGAAACATGGCATCAGGAAGATGAGAAAGTAACTGATAGCCTCAATTCATTTAGCATAATCATTATACTGCTATTTACCCAGCACTTTAACTGTAAACAGAAGGAATATTCTTTTTTCATATAAAACTTGCCTGCTTTCCTGTTAGGTTAATCAGCATCATCATAGTAATAACAATAATATTTATTGATGATCATTTTGTGCCAGACACTGTCCAAGGAGCTTTACATATATTTCCTTATTTCTCCCAACAAAAGTAACAATATTATCCTCTTCATTTTCTGAGTGAAGAAACTTAGTCACTGCATGGTTAAGTAACTTATGTCTGGTCACCTGCCTAAGCAGTGGTAAAACCAGGATATGGACAAATCACACTTAACACCAGTACTTTTAGGTAACCCATCACACCGCTTGTTAGAGAAACTTAACTGGAATTGCAACATCTGCCTATTTACCAACACCTAAAAAATTAGAGCCTACCCTTTATCCTTCAGGAACTTTTAAAACCTGAGAAGAGGAAACTCCTGTTTTGACAGAAGCCTGTGGTATTACAGACTGACAAGTTATAAGAAACTTTTGAGAGCCGGGACTGATTTCTCATGGGGAAGGCAGAATTTCAAGAAGCAAAGTGGCAGGCATACCATACTTGCTGTATTTGTTAAGGGGCAGATTTGAAGAAAAGCTACAGGAGAAAATTTGCGCAATTAAGTTGGTAGACGTCAAAGGGAGAGCCATTCTCTAAAGTTGTGAATCGGAAAATCATCTCACCCCATCCATGTATGGTACAGGGAAATGAGTCAGTCATAAGTTCCATTTCTTTTATTTTTAGCATTTTGAGTAATTTCCTAGATCTTCCTGTAAAGAAAATTACTCCTGTTCAGAGTATTTTCTACGTGGTAAAGTTGAATATAGCAGTGCTCAGAAAGGGAATAGCATTCAATTCCATATCACTCAATGAATTTCCCCTTATGGGTAAAGATAACCATGGGGTGGCAGACAGCTGTCAAACATCAGAAAAAGATTCACCTGGTCTGTCTCCCTGTAATACGAGGGCAGGAAACAACCCTCCTCCCTTCTGAACAGCTGCCCTACCAGGACTGTAATGGTAAACTGGAGTTTAAAATTCAGAGGTGGTGTAGCTATAAGAAATGCTGAGGTTAAGCCAGAGTGTGGCATAAGAGTGGGTGCCTATAGTGAAGAAACGCCAAAGCTTTAAGCCTCAGTTGTTGAAAGGTTGTCACATGCATACCAGAGACACTTAGAATGGTAATAGGTCTTCGACAAAAAGATTAGAAATCTTGATGAGGGGAAATGACATGACACAAATAGCAAAAAGAAAAAAGTGTCAAAGAATAGTCAAGTAGAATGACCTGAACTCACAGGGGGAAAAGTCATGGAGCAAGTTAGCGGTAAGTTTTGGGAATCGGGGCAGTGCTTTGACCTCAGGGACTGGAGGTGTACAAAAGGAATAGTGCCTTCAGTATCTCCATTTAACAATGAATGTTTTGGCCTTTATTGAGTGCAATAGTTAGTGACCCTAATTAAGTGAAATAGTCGCTAGATTTCATGGAAGGGAAGTTGCAATTTTGGTTTTTTAAATTCAGAGGATTACAGTGAATGAGTTAACAAAGAAAACTTGATACAATCGCAACTGTGAATCAATTAAAATTACCTTGATTACATAGTATGCCTGTGTTTTCTCCTCTTCTCCTTCAGGAGGCAGCATACCAACAGTCAGAATTTCATATCTGTTCTTCAGCTTATCAATTTTATTTAGCCGCTCATGAAACTCAGTGCTAATAAGAAAAAGAAACACCGAGAAATGAATAACATACTTTAGACTTTTTAAAGGACTATCAGGTGTTCTTATTGAAGACATTTGGATTTGTGTTACTACTAAACTGAAAAGGTTAAATGCATTCTCACTTTTTAATTTAATAATTTGGTGTGAAGGGTCTGATATTTACCCTACTGGAAACCTGACAAGTTAGACTGCCACAGTTACATGTGTCTTTTGCTGGCAGAAGACACAATTCCCATTTCAGAGACAAAGGACGTTATTTCTTATGACACAGCAAGTAGCATAAGATTCCTCTTTGCATTGATTCCCCTTGCTCCCTACATCCCATGGGGGCAAGAAGGGGCTTAAATCAATGCTGCACACACAGAAGATTTGCATCACAGCTGAGGAATCGCAAGCCTAGGTAACCCAAATATTTGCTCCAGAGGGAGCTACTACCTCTAGTTTCTGAGGCTGTTTGCTGTTCAGACATCTTTAAAAAGCCCAAACAGGGAGGTTGAGATTTGTCTTCCAGCAGTCAGATTCAGATTCTTAAATCCATTGGTTACTTTCTTTTATTTCAGTAAATTTATATTTTATGAGCTATTTTTTAGAACTTCTAGTAATATTAATATATGCATGACAATATGGAGAGTTACTCAGTTCTCTGCTACAAACTCATGAAAGTAAGCTATCTAACCATGGTGAAAAAGAAATCTTCAACCTACCGGTTTTTCTACTGCTACAGAGAACTGATGGTAAAATATATTTAGGTCAGAAGTTACAGTTTTTTTAATATTTAATTATCACTCATTTCCTCAGAAAATATTTACTCATCCTTTATGTGATCATAAAACTTGTTGGACTTCAAGTTTAAGACTGTGGACCAAGCACAGTGTATGGCTCTTCCTTTCTAAAGTAAAGATTAAACAAAACAAAACAAAAAAACAGCAACATAGCAGTTATGAGAACAAGAAAGACACAATAATTTTTCATGAATTCATGGAAAACAGATGCAGTAAAATTAATGGAAAAAAATAGACACACACATGGAATACCACTGCAGGAGCTATTTTCCGCCGAAGAAGTCTGAAAAACATCCAAACTCAGGAATAAAAAGAGTTATCTGTGAGGCTACAATCAACACCTCTGGGCCATTCCCCTCAGCCCTCAAAGTATACTGAAATGTCAGGAATGCTTTCTGCGCCAATGATAACCAAAAAATTTACCAGAGTTCCTAGCATCTATATTGAAGCTAGACAAAGAGGTAAAAACATGAAGTAATTCTAGGCCTCCACAACATAGAAATAAATGAGAAAGAAAGGCAGTTCTACCTAGGAATGAGATGAAGTCTTTATCACTCAAAATAAACACCTCCTAACTTTCTGTAACCATGAAGCCCTAACCCTGCTTAATAGCTATTATGCTCTTTACAGGACAGACTAGTTCAGAGCCCGCAATCAGCCATCCCATTTAGAGAAGCATTCTGTGAGAGAAAATGAGAGAGATCCACTTAATTGCAGAGGGAACCCTTACCAGTCAGCTACCAATATCTAATGATTATTAGGCATTTATTAATAAATACTAACAGAAAGCTAACAGCATAAATGGAAAGAACAAAATGAACAAAACACAATGCATAGAAGACAATTTTCATTCTTCTAATTAGTACCCTCTAAATGAGAAGAGGATACTGATTCCAAAAACACCCATAACAAGATGGGCAGCTATCAAAATAAAGGACCAATGACAGAACAGCAGTGCTTGCAAGTAAGTTTTCAATGTAAGCACAGTGAAGAATAGAGATTTAATAAGCAATATGGAGAGACAGGCAAGGGGGCAGATTAGGCAGAGGAGAGGGGAATCGGGAGAGAGAGATTAAGAATATCTGAGAAAGTAAAATACAAGGAGCAAAAAGAAACCTGGAGGACAGACCTGAAAGGGCCAACATCTTCTAAAAATGAACCACAAAGAGAGACAACAGAGGAGAGTATGATGGTAAGAAAAAAAATAAATAGAAAAATATTCCCCTGACCTGAAGAGAACCTTGTAATCAACTAAAAGAGACCACACAGAGAGGAGTTCAGCTCCTCTTCCCTGGGAACCCCCATCCCCTGACTATTCACCAGGCAGGGGCCCCAGCCTGTGACCATAGAACAGTTGCTCCACCATGGCGGAGCATACCCACTGGTAGTGGCCTGGAGTTTCCTGGAGACGCTCCCAGAAGCATGTGATGGCCTCTCTGCCAATACCATAGCAGAGCTCTATCGCTGCTGACCTTGGTTTGGAGAAGAAACACCTGAGCTTACAGCACGCTGCAGTCATAAAGAGAAGACACCACTCTTATCTCCCGACTCCCTTAACTCCTTGCTCCCCAGCAAGCCACAAGCTCACACCAGCAGCACAGCAACCGCACCCCCCCAGCTGAACGGTCCCAGTAACAGCAGCTAAATGTTTCTCAGAGGTGAAGCCCCAGGGCAAGCAAAAGCCTCTGTCACTGGCTCTGCAGTGGTACTACCCCAACTATCCTCAGATTAGCCAAGGAGCAAAGACCCTAAGTACCTCATCCATATCTGCAACAAGCTGCAGGAGACCCAAGGAGAGGAGGCCAGTCCATCTCCCATGGATCACATGAACCCCTGCTGCTCATCACCAGGCAGGTATCCCCAGCTTGGGCCCGCAGCACAGACCTCTCATCCTGGGTTTACTGCACCCAGTGATTACTGACCTGCAACTCTCTGGGATGGAGCCCTCAGGAGACAAGCAAAAGATCCTCAGCCACAACCACTGTTAAGGTACCTTCCTCTGCTGCCTCCACATTGGAAAATAAGCATAAACCCTGAGGTCACCCCAGTGGTGGGCAGCCCAGGAGCACCAGGCCATCATCTACAGCCAGCACTGAGGTGAAAGAGGAGCCCACACTTTCAGAGCATTGTAGGGGAGCATGGCTACAACTGTGAGGAAATAGCCACCCAGCCAAGCAAGAGCCTACTACTGAACACACCTAAGCACCACCTACTGCATCACACCCCAAGCTTCAACACCAAAAATACTTCCTGACACATCCCCCTGTGAAACCAAAGATGAGAAGTCAGCTACAAACAGAGACCCCACACAAAGCCTTGGCCCTGTGAAAACATCCAGAAAACAAGTCTGTTGACTGTACTTGGTCTACACCACAGTTAGAGAAACAACCACTGCATCAGTCCATATCCAAACTGTTGTAAAGATACCACCTGAGACTGGATAATTTACAAACAAAACAGATTTAATTGGCTCACAGTTCCACATGTCTGGGGAGGCCTCAGGAAACATACAATCATGAATCATGATGGAAGGCAAGGGGGAAGCAGCACCTTCTTTACAAGGCAGTAGGAGAAAGAGAGCAAGAGGGGGAAGCTTCCAAACACTTTTAAACCATTGGATCTCATGAGAACTCACTCTCACGAGAACAGCACTGGGAAACCACCACCATGATTCATTTGCCTCCCACAAGGGCCCTCCCTCGACACGTGGGGATTACAGTTGGAGATGAAACTTGGGTGAGGACACAGAGCCAAACCATATTCTGCCCCTGCCCCTTCCTAAATCTCATATTCTCATACTTCAAAACCAATCACACCTTCCCAACAATCCCCCAAAGCCTTACTCCAGCATTAACTTAAAAGTCCAAGTCCAAAGTCTCATCTGAGACAAAGCAAGTCCCTTCCACCTAAGAGCCTGTAAAATAAAAAAGTGAGTTGCTTCCAAATTACAGAGTGGGTACAGGCATTGGGTAAATGTTCCTGTTCCAAACGGGAGAAGTTGGTCAAAACAAAGGGGCCACAAGCCCCATGCAAGTCAAAAATGTGGCAGGGCACTCATGAAAGCTCCAGAATAATCTCCTTTGACTCCATGTCTCACATCCAGGGCACACTGATACAAGGAGTGGGTTCCCAAGGTCTTGGGTAGCTCCATCCCTGTGGCTTTTCAGGGCACAAGCCCTGTGGCTAATTTCACAGTCTGACATTGAGTGCCTGCGGCTTTTCCAGGTGCATGGTGTAAGCTGTCACTGGTTCAACATACACAAGTCAACAAATGTGATTCATCACATAAACAGAACTAAAGACAAAAATGACATTATCTTAATAGATGTAGAAAAGGCTTTTGATAAAATTCCACACCTCTTCATGTTAAAAACTCTTAATAAATTTGGTTTTGAAGGTACATAACTCAAAATAAGAGCCATCTATGACAAACGCACAGTCAACATCATAAATGGGGAAAAGCTGGAAGCATTCCTCTTGAAAACCAGCATAAGACAAGGATGCCCTCTCTCACCACTCTTACTCAACAGAGTGTGGGAAGTCCTGGCCAGAGCAGTCAGGAGAGAGAATGAAATAAAGAGCATCTAAATAGGAAGAGAAGAAGTCAAACTATCCTTGTTTGGAGATGATATGATTCTCTATCTAGAAAACCGCATAGTCTCAGCCCAAAAGCTGCTTCAGCTGATAGACAACTTCAGCAAAGTTTCAGGATACAAAATCAATGTATGAAAATTACTAGCATTCCTGTACACCAACAACAGCCCAAGCTAAGAGACAAATCAGGAATGCAATCCCATTACACAATTGACACAAAAGAATAAAATACCCAGGAATACAGCTAATGAGGGAGGTGAACAATCTCTACAATGAGAATTACAAAACACTGCCTAAGGAAATCAGCAGAAAGCTGGTTTTTCATGGATAGGAAGAATCAGTATCATTAAAATGGCCATGCTGGCCAGGTTCAGTGGCTCACACCTGTAATCCCAGCACTTTGGGAGGTGGGTGGATCAAGAGGTCTGGAGTTTGACACCAGCCTGGCCAAGATTGTGAAACCCTATCTCTATTAAAAATATAAAAATTAGCTGGGCATGGTGGTGGGGCACCTGTAATCCCAGCTACTCAGGAGGCTGAGGCAGGAGAATTGCTTGAAACCGGAAAGCAGAGATTTCAGTGAGCTGAGATCATGCCACTGCACTCCAGCTTGGGC